GTGAAAGAAACTGCTAGGGGAATGAGAAGACGAGCCATGGACAGCCAGAGACTGGGAGAAAAGTTCTGCAAAACATGTGTCTGATAAAGAACTGTTAACCAAACTATACGAAGAACTCTCAAAACTCAACAATAAGAGAGCAAACAACCCGATGAAAAAATAGGCAAAAAGCTCAGAAACTTCACCAAAAAAGATATACAGATGTCAAATAAGCACATGAAAAGATGCTCTACACCATATCATTAGGGAAATGCAAATTAAAACAACAACGAGATAGCACTACACACATATTAGGATGGCCAAAATAAAGAACACTGACGACAGCAAATGCTAGTGAGGACGTGGAGCAACGGCAACTCCCAGCCATTACTGGTGAACACACTCTTACCACACGATCCAGCAACCACACTCCTTGGCATTTACCCAGGTGTGGTGAAAACTTACGTCTACACAAAAACCTGCACACAAATGTTTATAGCAGCTTCATTCATAATTGCCAAAACCTGGAAGCAACCAAGGTGTTTTTCATAAGGTGAACGGATGGATAAACTGTGGGACATCCAGACAATGAAATACTATTGTGTTAAAAAGAAATGAGCTATCAAGCCACGAAAAGACAGGGAGGAGTCTTAAATGCATATGACCAAATGAAAGGAGCCAATTTGCAAAGGCTACATACTGTACGATTCCAACTATACAACATTCTGGAAAAGGTAATAGAAAGACTAGTGTTGCCAGAGAGTAGGGGTGAAGGAGGGATGAAAAGCAGAACACAGGGTATTTTGAGAGCAGTGAAACTACTCTGTATGATACTGTAATGGTGGATATAGGTCATTATACATTTGTCAAAATCCATAGAATGCATAGCACCAAGATTAAACCCTAATGGAGACTATGGACCCTGGGTGACAATGACTGTCAATGTAGGTTCACCAATTGCTCCAGATGTTTCACGTGATGGGAGATGTTGCTAATGAGGGAGGTCACGCATGTGTGGGGACAGGGGGTATATGGGAAATCTCTATACTTTCTGCTCAATTTTGCTGTGTACCTAAAACTGCTCTAAAAAATAAAGTCTATTTTAAAAGGAAAAAAACCCCTCAATCTATAGACAAGAATACAGAACACTAATTATGAGTGCAGATGACCTAAGGGGATCAGCAGACCTAAAGAGTTAGAAAATAATATTAGCAGCTCTTCCCCTTGCGAACAGTTCAGTCCCACTGTTAGGTGGACAGAGAAAAGGGCATGTGAACCGCACCAGCGGGGAAGGAACCCTGGTGACCGAGAGCCCAAACACAGTGAGGTGAGCACATGGCCATGGAGGAGGGGAGAAGCTTGGAGCAAGGTGGCAGAGCCAAGGAGGATGAGGAGGCTGCCTCTGCGAGGGTCAGGGTGGCAGGCTACCCAGTGTGGGATTACAGAACCCAAGAGGGGGTGAGTCTGCGCCCACGTGAAAGGAGGAAGCCCCTCCATGGTGGTTGGGGTGGCGGATGGGTATCGGCCCGCACTGGGAGAGTGACGTTAGGGCATGCGCGGCAAGAGGAGCACACGTGCGCAGAAGGGATAGTAATGGCGATGCAAGAGCGGTTGATTACAAAGCCGAGAAGAGTAGTTCCTTACACGGAGACTGACCCAATGAGTAATCACAGCAAGGATAATGGGAGGCAGGACACCCACAGTCACAGAAGGGAGTTGCACATTTGGAAAGGCGGAAAACTAGAATAAATCCAGCAGCAGGATTGCAATCGGAAGTATTGGTGTGAACTCCTGGTTTTCAATACAAAGATCATAGATATAAAATAGACACAGACATAAACTAGGTATACACATGTGCACACACACACACACAGTCCCTAGCTCTGTCCCCTCCAAGGGCCTGGGAGCAACAACACCCCAGCAGAAAGCAACACACCTAGCTCCCAGATCTTGGCTTCAAAATGCCATTCTGCATTAAAAGGAACCAGGGCAACTCGGAGAAACAGTTGGTTTCAGGGTTTCAAACAGAAATCCATACTAGTAGGGATTAATTAGCAAACAAAAAGGCATGAGATATTTAAGTTTCATAGTAGTGGCCTACAGATATTTACAAGGGGAAAAGAGTAACTTACAATGGAGAAGACTGGCAGGCTCCACCTTAAATAAGCGATCAAAGTGGATCTCATCAGTAGCGGGACAAATTGAAATTTTGTGTCATCTGATAAGATGGAGTAAGAAGAACGCAGCATCTCTTCTGAGGCATCTCTGACAAAGATGCATAAACTGAATCCTATCGTGACAAAAACATCTGCTACAATTGAGACACATTCTACAAAATAACGGGTCTATAATCTGCAAAAGTGTCTAGGTCATGAAAGTCAAGGAAAGACTGAGGAACATTCCAGACTGAAGGAGGCTAAAGGGACGTGACAGCTAAATGCAACATGTGATGCTGAGCGGCATCTTTCTGCCATAAACGAATTATTGGGACAACTGGCGAAATTTGAATGGCGTCTCCGGGTTAAATGATCACAATGTATCAATGTTAACTTCCTGATTTTGATGGTTATATTGTGAATATTTTTGAAAATATTCTTGTTTCTAGGAAAAACACACTCAGTGCTGGGGAGAGACAAGCTATTCCAGTCAGCAACTTATTCTCAGATAGTTTAGGAAAAAATAGGAAAAAAGTTCTTTGTAACGCTCACCGACTTTTCTGGAAGTTTGTATCATTCTAAAATAAAAAATCTTACTGAGAAAATGAAAGTAAACTCCACGAAAGCAGAGACTCTGTTTCTTTCCCTATGAATTCCAAGAACAGCACTGACACATAGTAGGCACTTCATGAACAGCTGATGAGTGAATACATGTGAACTAGGGGCATGAGCACTAATCTGCCACGGAAGTGAAGACAATGTCTAGAACTGATAAGCCTAGAAACAGTAAAATACAATTATTTTAAAACTTGGAGATAACTGCCAAAATAAACAGCTAAGGGAAAAGAAAGAAAGATTTACCTCTAGGGAACAGCGTAGGGTGAGAAGAGGCTGGACAAGAGAAAATTACTTCTTATAACAGCTCTTCTGGACTAGTTGATTGTTTAACCAAGAATTATACTTTGACTTAAAAAATATAAGGCAACTTCAAAGAGAAGTAGCAAAAATTAATTAGAATATAGTTGAAATAGCGTCTCACAATGATTACAAGGAAAAGGAAACCTTTGCTTGGATAAGTAACATCTAATAATTTTGTTTTTCACATGAAAATCTGTTGTTTACCATCAACCTTTTCCTTTGCAAAGATAGACAATTCATTCCAACACTGACTGTAATAAAGAAAAGCAAGAGACAGTTATCGTCCAGCAACCTGGGGCCACTTAAAATAATAATGATACATGCATACAATGGAAAGCTGTGTAACGATTAAACATGATGTAAATGCCTCGTATTTTTCCTGCTACACTGGAAATGGAAAAAATACTAACAGAAATAATACATTCCCATCAGTAACAGGGGCTGCTCTCAGCAGGAGCTCTCATCTGGGACCCCTACGGAAGGCACATCACAATACTGGCTCAGCGCCACTTGCGCCAAAGTCCACCACGGACCAGGCGCTGTGCCGTGCAAACTCCGTACATGGAAGGCCCATCTACTCAACTCCACAGCTTGGGAACAATGCCTCCCCATGTCACAGAGGGGAGAGTGGGAGCAGATTCCCAATGGTCTCACGCCAGAACCCATTTCCCTAAATCTGTGTTATACTGGATACATTTGACCCAGAAAGAAGTTCATGCATATATTAAACAAAAAGCACCACAGACAGTGATGGATAGTAAGATCCCTGTATCTGTAAAACAAAAATTTTATACACACCCTCACATCTGGAAAACTTTGTAAAGGAAAACTCTAACATTTTTAAGTAGGTATTAAAGATGATAGATTTTTTAAAAATTTTGATTATCTTTTTTCCATGATAAACGTTATCAAAGTAATTAAAATAATTTTAAGCGGAGGGAATAATTCAGTTGACTAAAGCTTTGATTTAGTTGAGGTTTACTACGGATATATATAAAATATTACACCCACAGGTAGACACACACCCAGCGTGAGAGTGAAAGCGTGGAGGCATCACCACCGTGGGCGAGCCAAGCATCTGCGGCTGGCAGGTTTCACCCTCGTCCAACAATTCCAGCTCATTAAATATCCTGGAGATAGGGAATTAAAGACTAAGTATTTCTACCCTCATAAATGCCTCTTATTTTTATCCATCCTATTGCGTAAAATAACAACCAGTGATAGATCCACATGTATACTCAGAGAAGCCAGTCCTCGTGGTCTATTGGTTAGATCTGGCGCTCCCCCCACCGCAGCCCGGGTTCATTTCCAGGTCAGGGAGCCACACCACCCATCTGTCAGGTGTCTTATTGTGGCAGCTGCACGTTGCTGTGATGCTGAAAGCGATGCCACCAGTGTTTCAAATTCCAGCAGGGTCACCCGTGGTGGAAAGGTTTCAGTGGAGCTTCCAGACTAAGACAGACTAGGAAGAAGGACCTGGCCACCTAATTCTGAACAAACTGGCCATGAAAGCCTTACGAATAGCAGCAGAGCACCAGCTGATACAGCGCCAGAAGGTGAGAGGATGGCGCAAAAAGCCGGGCAGGGTCTGCGCTGCTGTCCACAGGGTCGCTAGGAGTCGGAAACAGCTTGACAGTACCAACCACCACCACCATACTCTGAGGACAAGGAATCCCCGCAGATTACTGCAGCCCAGGCTCTGGCTGGGACGGAATGAGCCAGGCCTGCATGTGAACAGTGCCTGTTATGTTCTGCACATTACAGTAAGACCCTCTCAGTACAGACTACATGGCAAATGACCTCTGTCGGCATCTCCATCATAAATTGGTTCTGTTAAATCTAAAAAAAAGAGAATGACCGTAGCCCTTCTGAACAACCCTGTAATCTTTAGACAGTTCAGCGTTCTTTCAGGCTGCCTAGGAGATAAAGCAAGCCAGCAGGACTTACCCAGGATCGCAGCGGTGGGCCCCCGGCCACCAACAACACCCTTGGGCCACGGATGCTGGAGAGACTGTGCCAGGGAAGTTAAACCACGCGAATCTGACAGAAAGAAGACATTTCCGGATTAACATATGAAATAAAACTCCAAATACAAATGTGAATTTGTTGGTATACCTCTGCTCTCCTTTGCTGTGAGCTTACGGGAGACCTAACTCGGGGGCTGGGGAGCAACGTGAAAGGACTGAAGAAAACTGGAGGCGGAGAGAAACTCTGAAAGTAGCTTCTATGGTCCATGACCGACTCTCTCATATTTTCATGCTAATAAATGGCTCTTTTAAAGTTTCTAGGGGCCGGCCCCATATCCTGGGTGTGGACACGGCACCACTCATCGAGCCATGCCGCGGCGGCATCCCACATGCCACAACTAGAAGGACCCACAACTAAGAATACACAACTATGTACCGGGGGGCTTTGGGGAGAAAAAGGAAAAAAATAAAAATCTTTAAAGTTTCTAAAACTCTAAACATACAAAACCTCGATTTGGTAATATCTTTAAATTATGAATATGGTGACTTCTGAAAATACAACTCCATGTTAATAAGAAATTGAGAACAGTTTTTTCCTGGTCTCGTAAAAACAAACTGTAGCAGGTTTAGGACCTCAAAACCTGTCCCAAACTCAGGGGGATTAAAATGAAAATACTAAACTCAGAGTCCGAGTCTCTCTCCCCAAGCCTCCATGTGGGGAAAAGTCAGTACAACAACTTACATCAAAACACTAAGATTCCCACAAATGAGACTTTGAGTTTAAAGGAAACATATGGTGAGAATCCACTCACTTTTCACTCCTTGAGAATCCTTTCCTTGCAAAAACATTGGCCAGAGAGTAAGCGCCGGATTGAGTTTATTAGAAAAGGATGCTGACTTTATATCCAGTCTTGGTTTCTCTAAAGAATCAAGGTTTTTACTCTCCACGGGTGACACGTAACAAGCGAAGTTCTTTGCAACCAGATCATCATTCACACAAACCTGCAGGGTTTTAAACATTTAACGAATAATGAGACAAACCCAGTCAAGTGATGGTTCAGAAAATATCCCAAACTTAACCCCAAATTGCAATCTTCAGAAAAACTATTTGACAGAACGTAATCTGATAGAAAGTGACTTCTGCTCTGGTGAACCAGCTACTTCTGACCAGCCCTCCTGAAAAGAGACACAGTCATAATCTGTAGAAAATACGAGAAACATCTTCTTTTTTTTTTTTAAGATTTTATTTTTTCTCTCCAAAGCCCCCCGGTACATAGTTGTATATTCTTTGTTGTGGGTCCTTCTAGTTGTGGCATGTGGGACGCTGCCTCAGCGTGGTTTGATGAGCAGTGCCATGTCCACGCCCAGGATTCGAACCAACGAAACAGTGGGCCGCCTGCAGTGGAGCGCGCGAACTTAACTACTCGGCCACGGGGCCAGCCCCAAGAAACATCTTCTTGAAAGCACTGGAGAGCAACATGTCTCTGCCAGGCAAAGACCCAGGGGAGGCTAAAGACAGAAACAAGCCACAGAAGGAAAAACTGATAAATTAGCCTTTGCACAATTGAAAATTTTTGCTCTTCAAAAGACACTTAAGAGACGAAGGGCAATCCACTAATAGGGAGGAGATATTTTCGAAATCATATATCTGGATGGACATCTATCCAGACTATATAAAGAACTCTAAAACTCAATAAAAAGAAAACAAAACGACCCCAATTAAAAAATGGGCAGAAGATGAGTGGTTAAGTTCACACGCTCCGCTGCAGGGGGCCCAGTGTTTCGTTGGTTTGAATCCTGGCCGCGGACATGGCACTGCTCATCAAACCACGCTGAGGCGGCGTCCCACATGCCACAACTAGAAGGACCCACAAAGAAGAATATACAACGAGGTACTGGGGGGCTTTGGGGAGAAAAATGAAAAAAATAAACTCTTTAAAAAAAAAAGGGCAGAAGATCTGAATAAATACTTCATCAAAGAAGATATATGGATTACAAACAGCATATGAAAAGATAATCAACACCATAAGTCACTAGGGAAATGCAAATTTAAACCACAATAAGACACCACTGCACACCCATGAGAACGACCTCCCGAGTGCTGAAGAGGATGTGGAGGAAGGGAACTCAGCCAATCTGAGGGCATCACAAAGTGCTCAGCCTCTTGGGGAAACAATCTGGCAGTCTCTTAATACCCACAATACCAGCCACAGGTCTGAGTGCTAGGCATCTACCCAAGAGAAACGAAAGCATGGGTTCACAGGAAGATTTGTACATGAATATTCCTAGCAGTTTTATAGGTAATAGCCCCAAATTGGCCACAACTCAGACGTCCACCAACAAGTGAATGGATAAACACACTGTAGTATATCCAGACAGTAGAAGAGTATTTGACAATGAAAGGAACAATGTGAAAGAAGCCAAGCGAAAAACCAGAATACTGGGGCTGGCCCCATGGCGTCATGGTTAAGTTCGCCATGCTCTGCCTCAGTAGCCCCGGTTTGCGGGTCCGGATCCTGGGTGTGGACCTACACCTCTCATCAGCCACACTGTGGCAGTGACCCACACAGAAAGTGGAGGAAGACTGGTGCACATGTTCGCTCAGGGCTAATCTTCCTCAGCAAAAAAAAAAGAGAGAGAGTGAGAGAATACCCTGGGACACATCTTGTGCTTTCTTTGGGAGCTGGAAAAGGCTTGCTGGCCCTATTTTTCTTTTTCTGGCCATTATGACCTCACACATCCACTATAAGTCCTCTCTGTTAAGCATGCCTTCTGCACTCCATCACCTTGAAGTAAGACCAAGTTGTCAGCTGCATACACCACAGAGAGAAACAGAGACCCACTCTTGAAAAAGCAAGAAGAAAGAAGCAGGTCAGTAGAGAACTTGTTTAAAAGATGTTTTACAAGACTAGTCAGAGAGCCAACATTTGGTATTTTTATCAAGTTGTAAAACGAAGAATGAAAAGTCATAGGGAAAATCAACAAGGATATGAGGGAACCCAAAATGTAACATAATCAGTAACAAATGACTCCTATTACAAATGAACAACATAATCACACTGAAAAGAGTGGGGGAAAAAAGGACTAACCTCAGTGACTCTGGGAAGCAGTGTTTGGGCTGCGCGCTGTGAGGCCAAAGACAAACTGCTTCTTCACAGGAATGTGGGTTAGCAATTCTGAAATTACTTCATGGGAATTACAGGACTGATCAAATAAGCATACCACAGCCAACAAGAGCAGCTTCTCACCGCCAGAGACAGCTGTCGAGATGAGGCAAGGGGAGGGAGAGAACGAACCCTGTTGGCGCTGGCCGGAATCAGAGGTGCCAGAGCTCTTAGCGTATGTTCAGATGGACAGACCTAGAAGGCACGCGGATGTGTGTGTGCAGGGGTGGCGTACACACGTGTTTCCTCACTGTCTGCTGAGAGGGCCCACAGTCCACGACAGCCCAGCAGCCACGAGCACACCTAGTGCCCAGATCTTGCTATCTGAACACCACTCTTCAAAAATGAATGCCATTCTTCAACAAAGCATTTGGAGAAGTGGTTCCCGTCTAGGGTTGGGCTAGAAAATGACAAAATTAGCCGGGAACATCTTGTGGTACCAGAAAGTAAGGAGTTTTCAACAACGATGGAGCAGGACACAAGGAAAGGACACATAAGCCACTTCTAAGCAGCTCCTAGTGGCCGAATCTGAGACAATTTGAGCAAAATAATGACAGTAATAGATTACACCCCCCAGAGTAAAATAAATATCCAGGAGTCCATACAACGATAACCTATTGAATCAATTAATAAATGGGGGAAAAGGGGCAGTGCTTCCTTATAGTAGAATTTCGATTAAAAATGTAGAAGGCATGATGGAAAGGGGCAAGCACCACAGAATTAAGTTTTGCAGGCAAGCATCACTGATGGATCTTTACACAGTCTCAAAGTATCTCCCCATAAGACACTTAATTTCAAAAGGAAAAAACAGTAACTCTGTAGAGGAAACACCTGGCAGACACCAGCTTAACCAGGTGATCCCGCGGAGCACGACTAGTGATAAAGCAGACGGACATCACGAGCCCTCTGCTAAGATGCAGCGGGAAGGCACAATGTCACCTGGGTAGCATTCTTGCCAGAAATGTACAACTTCAATCTAATCACGATGAACCCAAACTGAGTGAATTCTACAAAATAACTGGCCAGGACTTTTCCGAAGTGTCAAAGTCTTAAAAGAGGAGGAGGCTGAGGCACTCCCACTGACTGGAGACCAAGGAGACACGAGAAGCAGATTCCACGTGGGATCCTGGGTCAGATCCCAGACCAGAGAAGGGAAATTAGTGGGAAAATGCGCACAATTCAAACAAGGTCTGTAGATTCCTTTAAAGGGTACTTTCTCAGTCTTAGTTTTCTGGTCTCAGTCGCTGTACCATTGGTCTGTACGGTTAACATGAGGGGACCCCAGGTGAAGCATACACAAAAACCTCTGCACCATTTTCACGTCTCTTAAGGGGAAAATTATTTCAGGATAAAGTTTTTAAATGAGCCCGCAGTTTGGATGCCCTCTGTGGGCCTGAGCAGCCCCTGAGCCGCCCCTCCACCCTCCTCCACGCAGGCGCAGAGCCGCCCCCGTGCCTGCCTTCACCAAGCACAGCTGGCCAGGTGTCCATGGCTAGGAATGTGGGTGGGGTGCTCACGTGCGGTGCCCACCTTCTTTCTACTTATGTTATCTGACTCCTTCACAAGCACATATCACATACAATGAGAAAACTAAATGCTGTCTAAATAAAACACTAGTAATTTTTTAAAGTAATCAAAAGAAGAAAACATAGTCCTGGCTTAACTTCTGATCGAAGGCAAACCCTGAAAGATTAAGGAAATTTCCATGCTCTGAGAATAACATTTTCTTCCTTGGTGTTTATTCTTTGTTTTGCTAAAATAAAAATTGTAGGTAATGATAAAATATTCTTAAAATACAATTCTTTTACTTACCTTTTCGTTTTTTATAGTTACATAAAGGTAAACCTCGAAAGTATCTTCTTCCACAGCACATAACTTGGCTTCCACCTGGGTAGTTGCTAAATATCATAAAAGAAAACACGAATTAGCTGATACTACACACTTGAGACAATAATGGCTTGTCCTCACCTATTCATCTCTATTAACCACTCATGGGGACCAGGCACCACAATGTCCACGGCTTCCGGCCACAGGCCGGGCCTCAGGGCAGAAGGGGACAGGACACTGAGGTCAAGGCGGAGGCTCTCCCGGCACGGGCTCAGCCTCGCACCCTCTGTCCCCATCCACGGCACCCCCTCCTGCCACCCTCTGACACCTCCTTGAGCACAGTTCCTGGCCTCTCTTCCCTTCCAGTGACTCCCAAACCCACATGTGCAGTCACGGTCTTTCATCTGAGTCCATTCTACCCCTCAAATGCCCCAGGGACTCCATCACCCACACAGCAGCTCCACGTGTGGGGACCTATGTAAACGTGTTTCATTTCACTCCCACCACAGTCCTTTGAGGTGAGTAGTTATTGTCGTTTTACAGGTGAGGAGACCAGGTCAGAGAGATAGCAGGGCCGTATTCAAACCCAGGCCCTCTGCCCCTCCCAACTCTATCTCCCAGCATCCCCCGGGGGCTCACAAGGGCCCGAACTCCAAAACCGGAGAGCCGCCCAACCTCCCCTTTCTCCCAGGTCAAAGCATCCGGCTGCGTCTTTACCCACACAGTGGGGCAGCGGAGGAGAGGGGCCAGGACCCCAAAAGGTACCAGGCAGCACCCAGGCACTGCACAGCCACTGCTCCTCAGAAGAGCCCTAAGAGGCAGACACAGTTCTTCGCTCATGACTCCCGGGGCAGGACAGATGCTGCAAATGAGACTCTATTTCAGAGTCAACAATATAAAGAGAGCACACTCAGCAGGTGCCTGAGACAGCCCACACATCTGAAATTGGCAACGAAGGTTATTACACAGGAAGGATCCATCCACTATCCCTTGCTCACTGAAAAAAGCTAGGTTTTCATCAATTGTTGGTTCACTGAAATGAACATACATGTATTTTGGAGTGCTGCAGCTTCTAAGCAAACTAAGAGAGGGGCACCATCACTGCGTCAGGGTCCCTCACCCAATCAGCCCCTGTCTAATTTCACCTGCAAATACTACGTCCACATCCACGCCCACAATTCCAGGGCTGCAGAGTCACCGTGACACTTGGGGTGGAAGAAGCTCCAGTAACTTATGAACACACATGAGGAGGGTCTGACAGGGAGCACGTGTATCTCAAGCCCCTCCACAGCAGGAGGCCAAACCACCTTGGTGCAGCTCAAAGCAGGCTGCAGCGACCACGCCTGGCCTTACCTTTTAGAATGTTCTGAAAGTACTGAACAGCTGCACTGTCCCACTTCCTGGCGGGTCTGGAACAGTGAACAGATGCAACTTCATTAAGTAAAAATCTGAGGCGAGCACATTCTGTAAACCGCACGCAGGATGCCTCCGATACTACGTGTGGAACATACGCAGCAGGTCCCGGGGAGCTTGGCTCTGCTCTGGGGCAATGACCCTGCTGCACCCTGCAGGAGGGCCCCTCCCCACTGCCACCTGCACAAGGGCAGAGACTCGCTGAATGGGCCCCTTCCTGGGACATCCTGAGCGACCCGTGCACCAGGGCATCATCTGTCCCAACACCATCATCTCCAGTGACTTAGGATGTATCAGTCTCCGCAGCCCGAACACACGCTCCCCAGGCGGGGACCCTGAGGATGAGCTGTTCAGCACGGGCTGGTGCAGAGCGAGGGCTCTGGGCTGGTTAAACCCACGTCTCAGCGCGCCTGTGGGCGAGCAGCCCCTGCTGCCTCACCACAATCCTCATGCCGCCCGCGCCCGTTCCCCGGCTCCCACTTCGTCTCCACCATCTTGCCCTTCCCCAAGCTTTGGAAAGACAATCGCAGGCAAAGCTGCAGGCGGTGGAAGATCAGGGGAAACCAGTATTTGGAAGCAAGGAACAAGAATAAAATATGTAAGGTTGGCGTGAAGTGTTTCATGTGTCTCTACTGGTTTTATTTGTCAGAGACGCCACCACCATCCTCCAAGGGTTGTTTCAAAGATCAAATGAGCTCATGTACACAAAGCACTTGGCCCAGGGCCTGGACTGAAATATTAGTTATTTTTATTCTTTCTAAGAAAGATATTAAGCACATTACTTCAGGAGAATTACAAAGGGTTTCTAAAAGGAGGCAAAAAAAAAAAAAAAAGACTGGTTCTAAAACATTGCTACACACAAAAAAATTACCTAATAAGCTTTTTTAAATAACAAAATGTAGTAGAATCCTAATAAGAAAAAGGCTCAAGAGGAGAATCAATCTAGACTATGAACAGGTAAATCACCAATCAGTCCGTGTGTCTGTCTGCCTGTCTGTCTCTCTCTCACACACTCACACAGACACACACACACACACACACACACACACTAACCACGGGAAGAGATACCTAATTTTACAAGTCGGAAAAATGCAAATTAAAACAAAATACCATTTTCACCCAGCAAAGAAGGAAAAATGAAAAAGCCTGATGATATTCAGTGCTGTGTGGGAAAAGCAGCACTTTCTATGCCCCAACGATGGGACTACAAATTGCTAGTCCTTTAGGAGGGAAACTTGACAAAATCTATAAAAACTATAATACACACACTGAGACAACCTTCCAGATGAAGCACACACAAAGGCAGGAGATCAAAACCCAGTAAGATCACTCACTTTAAGCCCTTGGCCTGTGCTGAAGGGCATCCCAGGGTTGGGCGTGTCTGCGGCTGCGAAGGTCCCCGAGGAGCAAGGTGGTGGCAGGAAGGGTCTCATGGGGCTCGGGGGGGGGGTGCCGAGAAAGACAGGGACACAGACTCCTGTGAGGGAGAGCTGGGCGTGGACAGGCTGGCACCCGAGTCAGCCCGGGAGGGTGAGCAGCTGGCTGCTCTGAAAGAGGGCCAGAGGAGGAGCAGGGGTTGCCGGGCAGCCACAAGAGTGACGCACTCACCACGTCGAGGGAACTGCAGGTGACGGGGGGCTCAGGGAGGCGGGGATGGGGCGGGTCTCCACAGACCCCAGAAAAGCACCCACAAGAAAGACAGCTTCCAAGTTCAGAGAACACAAAGCAACTTCGCCAGGACGTGCAAGCTGGGCAAGCTGAGTCAGAAGTGTGCTGCTCCCTACAGCTTTTCACACGGTGCCACAGTGCCGGACGGGGAGGACAGGAGGAGTGCCACGTGGGAGGATGGGGCTGCCCGCAGGAGCTCAGGTAGTGCTCGTTTAGACAGCAAAGATCGCAGCCATACCACCTGACACAGCGCAGCCCAGTGCGGGGAGCATCCTGCACAAATGCTGGCAGTGTGGCCAAACATTAGGAAACAAGAGCAAAGATGTGTATGCGCACGTGTGTATGCACCTCTACATCTATGTATTTTATATGGATTTATCTGCATTCTAATGGGAATGTACAGCGCAAAATGGTTTCGAAACAATCTCATTGGCTATCAAGGGAGGAAAGGTTAGGTATACAAAGTATGCCAATTATATTCACCCACAAGAAAGATGACAGTAGAAGAGAGTCCAAGTATTGGCCAAGAGCTTCAACACACCTTAAGTTTGCAAATGAGACAGTATGTTCTAATTTTCATAAAAGCTCCATGCATGTGAATACGTATAAAAGCACTGAAAAAGGTCTGCAAGTTCAGAGCATGAACGGGTTACAGAGGCCTCCAGGAGGGAGGAAGCGGGGCTGGAGATGAATGCAATGGACCTTTTTTTAATGCTCCATGATCCTATGTATTGTTTCTCTTTATAATTAATTTATTACTTTTTCTAAGTTAAAAAAAAAAAACACCAAAAAGCACAGAGCTGTGGCCCTATTCTATACCGCAACAATCGCTGCCTCTGGAGGCGGGGCTGCCAGGTCTGACACACCCCGACTCAGAAGGCACCTCCTGAAGAACAGAGACCTCTGAGATCGCTTAGCACTTCTCAAGAGGCCCTGATTTCATACAGCATCACACACTCGGTTTAAGACTTTGACTAAGGACTCAGTGCCTGCCAGCAGCTGTACTTACACAATCTCAGCCGTGTCTTCACAGAGGTCAATGTGCAATGTGACAGGCTTTGTGCAGTACAGTCGGAACTTTTTCGCTCTGTAGGGAAGCTGCATAAAAGTTTCTACTGCAACTCGGATGCTTAACAGTGAAACAGAAACAGTTCCAACATAAAGAAAAATTACATATAACATATTTATTTAAAGGATGCCAATATAATTAATATACTTGATATAAAACAAAACACACAAAAACCCATTCTTTCTCTTTCTATATGGCCACCAACAGCAGGAAGGACTTGGAGACATCTGCCCAAGGGTGCAAAGGCTGGTTCCGGGGGATGGACAAATCTTACTCCTTTCACACATAAAACACAGATATACATACAGTAACAATATTCAGTATATCCTTGGTGTTAACATCTCATGGCATGGGGTGAGGGTATTAGAAAAATAATGTCTAATGGGGCCCCTTAGATGGAGAAATACTGAGTAATAATGAACAAGCCTTGGGGCAAATTCTGTTTAAAATTTTTACATATCAATTTTAATACATGACCAGAATTACCTTCAAGTTTCTGTAAATGAGCAGATGTTTGAATACTTAGTGTTTGTCAACTTTGCACAAAAGAGCTGAAAGGACTGAGATTTGATAAACGAGTTGTTCAGTGTTTTACATCCATTCTTCTTAAGGCAAACGACAGACCCCTTTAACATACCACTTGGACCATCTGGTCCCCAGGATGCCGTGTGGTCAGCCGAGCATCTTTAGTCTCGGACGGTAGAGTAAAAGGCGGCTGTATGGCCAGCCCCGAGGCCTCCTGGCACTCTATTTAATCAGATAATTCTCTTGCCCAAAAAAAAACTAAACTTAAAATACCAAATATTAAAAGGAAATCTCCCCAGTTAAACACAATAGTTATTTTAATAACAATTATGGTTATAAAAGTGCAGAATCACAAGCTAGAAAAGCATCTACTTTTTCCTTAAATATCTGCAAATTCCCAATGCCGGATAAACCATTTGCCATGAAATTCTTCCATTCAAGATAAACCTCTTATTGCAACGGAAGACTATTTGGCATTGCTCTTTTGGAAAAAGGGTCCTCAAATTTATTAATTAAATGGATATGCTCTTACTCTGGGACAGGAAACTATGAAAAAATTACCACAAACACTGAGACCAACTTATTCATAATGTTTTCTAACAAACTGTGATGTGTGGTCCTGGATTCAGTGAGGGCTCCTTCTGAAGTGTCTCCCCACTTTATGCGACAGTGATGCCCTCACTTTGTTAAGTAGGACAACCAGGAATACATCCTGGAATACATGCTCTGCTCAGCGCAACCTGAGGCTGTACCAGCACCCTGCCCCTTCTCTGCAGACAAGAAGACTTTCTGCTTCGTGGTAGCATCTTTCTGGCAGCCAAGCCTCCCTAAAGGACCCACTCCATCACCTGAACGCACTAAGAGGACAGGCCAGGACAGACGAGCAGCTGGCCAGGAGCACCTAGGAGATGCAGAGCACCTGCCTTTAAGGGAGGACGGTGGAAGGAGGGCCAGAGCCGCCTGCTGAGCCTCCATTCTGACCACGTACTTGCACATTCACGGCCTGTAGAACCGGAACCTGCAAGTCCGCCCTTCTGGAAGCTAAAAAATTCCAGTTTATGACCTCCAGCCCCTTACTTTGATAACTGACACTCTCCTTTAAAACTGACATTTATCTCCTTAAAGAGCATAAGGCAAAATAAATATGTACGTACTTTTTGGATTTCACTGGAATGTACTTGGCAAAATCCACAAGGAAACATTCTGCCAGGTAATGGTCTGCTGAAGACACGATGGACTTAATCACAGCCCTGCACCAGCACTTTAGTTCCTGACAATAAACCACACAAACCTACAAAATGAAGAGAAAATGTCAGTGTTAAAATCTCCAGTCCTGTAACGAGAGAACTGGAAAGGCACTCACCGAATCATCTCGGCCTACACTTTCCCTTACAGAAGAGGAAGTGATACCGGGCCTGATATCAGTTCCCCTACATTAAACCCAGCATACATGGGGTAAAACCAAGGCGCTCCTCCCCTTTCCCTGCTTACTCCTCCGCCTCCTGGTGCCAGAATCCACCATCCACCAGGGAGGCAGACAACCAAGGACACCCACCTGCAGATTCCCTTATCTCGCCATTCTCCTTCCTGCAAGAAGCCTCACAAGGCCAAACGCGGGCTGGAGGGAAAGCACCGACCAGCAAGGCCACAGGCTCCCCTCCCTGCAAGCAGCAGCATTCCACGCAGCCTTTAAAACCCCTTGCCTCCCATCTTTCAGGGAGACAAGATGAATTTAAGGCTCACTCTCGTCTCCTGGCTGACATCACCTGAAATAAAATCCTTTTCCTTGCCATAAGCCTGGTGTTCCAGTTTTATTTGGCCCCTCTTGTGTGGTGGGTAGAGAACCTGTGTATGTGGCTGGTAACAGGGGGGGATGCGAGGAGGCTGGACCTGCCTAAGGTAAACACTGCTCGTCAGTAAAAGAGCCTCGGTGAATACAAACACAGGGCCCCTGAACTCTATTGCATTGTTTTTCTCACTACAATCATTTTGACTCTTTAAGGACAACTTTTATAAAGTAAAATAAGGAAAATGCATCGCTTTACCTTCTTAAATCAGAAAACAAAGCTTACAAATGACTGTCAATCATGCACAGACCCACAGGAAATTGCAGCCCCAGCCTCATCCTCCCCGTTCTCCTCCCAGGGCTTCTCCTGCCCTCTAACACTGGTCTAGGATGCGCCCCAACAGGACGCCAGCTCCATGATGATGTGGATTCCCGTCTGTTTTGATTACTGCCACATTCCCAGCATGCAGAACAGTGATTGGCACGTACTAAGTCTTCAAAAACTACTTGCTGAATGACTGAATGAATGCCTGAAGCCCCCTTTGAGGACACTGCCCTGCTGAAGTGAGAGCGCATGGCATCCTGACTGTCTCACAGGACTGCCAGGCCACAGCAACTTGACTGAAATCCACAGACAGGCAACAATATGCTGCACAGGCCTATACAGTGGCCCGGTGGGGAGAGCTGTGCCCAACAGGGAAGAAGTGGGCCCCTGGGGGTTCCTGCCTGCAAGAAGTGAAGTCGGGAAACAGTGTGGCCACTCCGCAAGGGATGGGTCCTTGACAGCCTCACATGATTCAGAAGAAATCCTGCCTGAGGATGGAGGGTATTTCTGTTTAAAGCTTACGTCAAAGAAATTTGTAGGAATGATGTGAATATGGTTAATAATTCACACAGCCAGTCAACTTCAAAGAGCTGGCATACTAGGGCTTCCACTGGCCAAAAACGGGACAATTTAAGCATCAACAATAATGACTACAATTGATGATTATAATAAAAGCCATGAGTTCAATATAGTACTTGATATTCAATACAGCACTCAATATAGTACAATACAATACTTAAAAAATGAAAGGAGAGAAAAACAAATCAACCTCTGGCCACCAAGGCAGACAAGTAGGCACAAATCACTACCCTGAAAATTGATAAGGGAAAGAATCATGCAATTTTTCTACCTTTCCATTGTGAACTGTTATTTCAGGACAGCCAAAAGGTCCTAATAGATGAGGAACACCTTTCTACAGAAAACCCAGCTCGCGAGTGCAGAAGGAAGGTGAAAAGGACCATTTCACAAGCTTAACTGAAAGAGCTCATCTGGGCAGGGGTGGTCACTGGAAGGCGTAACCATCACACAGAAAGCTGAGGGGCACCAGCACATGGCAGGGCGCAGGCCGCCGCCAGCAGAATCCAGCAGTCAATCTCAGCAACGTCAGAAGTCCTGCTATCTCCCAATTCAATACAAGATGAGGCTCACAGCACCCATCATTCTTTGGGGGGAAAAAAGTTACCCTATATTGAACCAAAGTTTTATATTTAACTATCGGTCAACACAAAACACAAGCGATAGAGGGAAATGTCACCACCACCACAAGGAAACAATCAGGTTGTCCAAAATGTGGAAGATTTTAAAAGGACAATTGACTTGGTTTCTTTTCTTCAACAAGTCAACGGTATAGAAAAAAAATAATAAATGTTATTAACGATAATTTTTGGTGGGGGAAGGAATTAAAATTATTTCTAATTTTTCTCATAAAGAGTTTCTAAATCTTCTCCTATCATGCTATTATAAAAATTCAAACTCTTCTGAGAAATGAGTGACCTGTAGAGAGAGTCGGACCATAGGCATGAGAGCTGAGAGTGCAAAAAAGGAAGGAAGGAGGGGCCATAATGTGGAGTAGGGAAAGTAAAGAAGCAGGAGTTGGCCAAAGTCATGAGCAACCAAAAGGGAGGCATCAGCCCCAGATTGAAAACCGCCGTGTTCTCTTTGCTAAGGTCCCCACACCTTAGCACATCACACCTGATGATCTAGAATAATCCTCTGGTTCCCAGCCCCAGGAGGACGGCCCCAGTGCCTGAATTTAGATGACCTTTCATCTCCTGCTGCCCCACAGGAACCCAATACAACAACCGCCACTTAGCATGACTCGTCTGAATCTTGTGCAACCAAAGAACCTAACGTGGGGCAATGATTACAAGTAATTAAAATTCCCTAGACGCTTTGATCATATTAGTTGCCAAAATATTTTACATTTGCGGTAGTATTTCAAGACACAGCGCTTAAAGCACATTTAGATACATACCTGCCCTTCTTCCAACATTAGCGGTTTTATTTCTATATCGTGACACATTCTGTTATAGAAGTCATTCATGGCACTATTTAGTTTTTGATAGTCAGCTTCATGATCTAAAAAGGAACTACATCCTTTTATAATAACCCAGAAACAACCTGGATCTTCAATCTGTAAAATTTTAAAAGACAAACAAAGCAATACATGATTAAAAGTAGAATCATAAAATAACATAAACCTTAGAACCACAACTGTTTCTAATTTAAGTGATCTAACAAATTCCTGACCAGTGCCTCTGTCTTCAATGGTCAGACCAAAGAAAAAAGACCCTCAATACCTATATATTTCAAATCATCACATTGCACACCTTCAACTCACACAATGTTATATGTCAAACATATTTCAATAAAGCTGGGAAAAAAACCAAAGACTCAAAGATAAAATTCTAAAACACGTAACCAATAATATGTAAGTAACTTTTAATTCTGTATTGTGACTCAAAAAGCAAACAGATAAATACTCTTGATCTCCTGTATTTTGAAAATAGCCATAAAAAGTACAAAAGCAAGGTCCGGAGCAATGTTTTTAGTATTCTATGTCTTTCGTCAGAAAGAGAAGGAAATGTGAATATATGTACAGTCTGTTCAAATTAAAAGAAAGAAATGATGGAAGATAAACCAAAACAGATATAAACTATTACAGAGGAGGCCGGAATGGGGCAGAAGGGGCAGGGATAAAGCCAGACTTCTCTGAATGTATCTTTATCTATTAACATTATTAGAAACCAAGATTTTCATTGTCAGAGAAAAGGTACAAAATAAAATGAAAACTTAAATTTGAATTGAAAACATCAGTAGGAACTCACGATTTTTCAAATGTATTCATTTCCCCATGTTGCCTCCTGAAAGGGCCTAAAAGCAATGATTTGGATCCTAGATACCAGGTGGCAGGAGTACAGATGTTCCCATTAGCATTCTTTCTATTTTTCTGAATGTTTAAACATTTTTATAATAAATAGTTGGAAAAAAGAACAGCTAGCCATTCTGGTTCCAGTAATGGCAGATGAGTTTGTATGGACCAACCCATCTGCAAGGAACAATGCTGAAACCTGGAAAAAACACAAAATAACTACGTGAAGGGCCTGAAGAGCTCCCCAAAGCAGGCCCAAACTGGAGGGGATTCGGTCCTTGAAAGGAGCACTGTCGCTGGGTGACATCCATGTCTGCACAGAGCTTCGCAGAGAACACTCCCCAGTCCAGGTGGTGCAAGCAGCTGCAACATGAGCAGCAAGCCACAGTGTTTGTGGCTTGAGGAACCAGAGAACAGAGTTAGGGCCGCCAGAGCTGCTGTAAATTAGGGGAGAAATTCTGGAAGAGAGGCACTGAGGGGCTGAGAGCCCTGAAGTCTACACACAAAAGCCCCTTGAACCCTTGGCCGACCCTGAATTGCACAGGCAAGACGCCAAGTTCCAGAGAAAAGCAACAGTTGGAAGGCCAGCGGAAATAGAGAGCCAGAGCTGCGGCCCAGGACGCCTGCAGAACTCTCAGCATCAGAGGCTGCCCCAACTCCAGCGTGGCTTCCAGCAGCACGCCCCAGCCCCTCTAACATGCCTGCCCGAGAAGCGCCAGGCTGCCAGGAGAATTTCCTGTTTGTTCCAGCCCACACCTGACACTGGCCCTCGACCTCCTTCTCTTAGAGCAGTCACTAGAAGGACTCACAGCTGGGAAGCCTTCCCGTCCCTTTGGGATGTGCATGCCTCTCCTGCCCCTCGGGAGGAAGTCCTGCCCCAGGGCCTGAGCCGTTCCTCTGAATCATCAGGAAGGCCAGGGCCTCCGTCTCCTGGTCTCCGGGGGGAGCCAGAAGCCTGACTCCCGGCTAGCAGACACGGGCCTGATCACACTGGCACTGACCACCCTGTGGTATTGGTCACGGGAGCCCCTCCCCGCCTCTTCCTCATTCTCCCTTTAAAATGCCTGGTCACCTCTGCACAAACCGGAATGGAGCTCGGCTCCTTCACTGCGGCCGCAGTCACTGAAGAACGTTCTCGCTGCTTTAACTAGCGTCCAGCTCTGTTCCTCTCTGACATCCATCACAGGAAACACAGTTTGCAGTCAGGGTCCTGGCAAGCTGAAGAGGCTTAGCAAGCACCTCGAGCGCTCCAGAAACCCCTCCAGTGCTATGCCTGTGTAGGGGATCAGAACTGGCCACCCCCAAAATGTGTCTCTTTGCCTTGATTATTTTTAAGGACCAAAGACTCTGAAAGAAACTTTGACCTTCCTCCTAACTGCCTAAAAGAATTTAAGACAGAAGGTCTGTCCCAGGAGGGAGCTATCACCAGAGATAACTCTAGGTGTAGGAGAAAGGATGGCATCCGGCAAAGGCCATTCAAAAGATCTCTTTCAGGTTCCAGTGTCCATAGACGGCCCAGCAAACGCCTGTTTATCAAACATTCACTTTTCCACCTCCGTGTGAAGTGCCTTCCTCCCCTTTGAAGTCCAAACCGCTACCCCAAACATTCTCCTTTGTCTTTAGCTGAAGATGGATTTAAGGTGGTGACTTCGGCCATTCTGGCAAGTTACTCAGTTTTCCTGGGTTTCTCCCCTGTATACATGCTACAAAGCTTTGTTTGATTCTCTCCTGTTATTCTATCTCTTGTCAATTTAATTCTTAGAGCAGCCAGAAGGACCTAGAGGGTAGAGGAACTGTCTCCCTCCCGTACGCCTGCGAAGTAAAGACCATGTTGCAGGACAAACAGGATGTGCTCTATCACTAAGGCAAAACCAAGCAGGTGAGGGGCTGGCCCCGTGGCCGAGTGGTTGGGTTCGCGCGCTCCGCTGCAGGCGGCCCAGTGTTTCGTTGGTTCGAATCCTGGGCGCGGACATGGCACTGCTCATCAAGCCACACTGAGGCAGCGTCCCACATGCCACAACTAGAAGGACCCACAACGAAGAATATACAACTACGTACCGGGGGGCTTTGGGGAGAAAAAGGAAATAATAAAATCTTTAAAAAAAAAAAAAACCAAGCAGGTGAGCAAACCATAAACCACGCCTCCTGAAGTGCAGACGGAGAGGCAGCGACTGAACTGCAAGTCCACACTGTTCACCACAACCACAGCATGCAGTGTAACCTACACACTTACCAGACGCGTAAACCACAGCGTGCAGGGTAACCTACACACTTACCAGACGCGTAAACCCCAGCGTGCAGCGTAACCTACACACTTACCAGACGCGTAAACCCCAGCGTGCAGCGTAACCTACACACTTACCAGACGCGTAAACCACAGCGTGCAGCGTAACCTACACACTTACCAGACGCGTAAACCCCAGCGTGCAGCGTAACCTACACACTTACCAGACGCGTAAACCGCAGCGTGCAGCGTAACCTACACACTTTCCAGACGCGTAAACCACAGCGTGCAGTGTAACATACACACTTACCAGACACGAAAACAAATGAAAATGTGATACACAGCCAAGAAGAAAAATAGCCAATAGAAAGTGAGCCCAAGATTGCCCAGATGTTGAAAAACAAGGATCTCACAAAAGAAATGGGAACTAGAAAAAAAAGAAAAACCTTGGGAGAAGGTTAATTCCAGAACTAAAACGTGGAGCATACAAAATAAAAACTTCACTGGTGGTGCACTGACCACGCCTATTCAGCATTGTACTAGAGGTCCTCGTCAGCACAGTAAGAAGAGAAAGAGACTGAAGATTGGAAAAGAAGAAAGAAAACTGTTCCTATTCACAAATGAGAATATCTACACAGAAAATCCTAAAAAGTCGACAAAATATAAACTAGAACTAATAAGTGACTTTAGCAAGGTTCCAGGGTACAAGGTAATATAGTATATTCAATTGTACATCTATATTTCAGCAATGAAAATTGGACATTTAAAGCTAAAAAATAGTATCATTTGCAACAGCAACAAAAACACAGGAATTTCTTAGGAATAAATCTAACAAAATATGTGCAAAATTTGTATGCTGAGAGGTACAAAATATGACCAGAAACCAGGCGAGGAAAGAGTTAATGAAAATGTGATCTGAAACTAAACACCGTCTGTCAAGTGTTTTCCAGACAAGGAGAAAACTAAACGTGCTGTTTTTCAGAAGCTGATGACCTCATTTTTTGCAGATGTTGCCATCCTGCAGGGAAACTTACATGGTTCCAGCAGGACCCTTGCAAATTGCTCCAGCTCTGAGAGTCCAAAAGTTACCTTGGACCCGTTATATAATAATACCTTGACCTCGTTATGTAAAGGCGTGTTACACTGATCTCGGTATGTAATGGTGCCTTGAATTCACTATGTAAGGGCCTGCACACGCGCCCTCATTAGGCCCAGTTGTTACACAGTTGTAACATATCCTCTGCACTCTGGTGTAGTCTCCACTGCACTAAACTGGGGAAGGGGGCAGGCACTGCTTTGCGAGCTATCCCCAGTGTTCTCCATTGCTTGTACATGCAGCAAACCTTTTTTTCTTCACCCACTTCAGCCTTGGTTGTGCTTTTTGGCTCCGCACTCACCAAGAGACAGACTCATTGAGTTTGGTTACAAAACCACTGATGAAAGAAATCAAAGAGGAATTTTAATGCAGATATACAGTGTTCATGGGTTAAGATGTTGCTTTTCCCCAAAAGGATCTATAAATACAATTCAATTCCAGCACGAATTAAGAAATCAACACACTAAATTATGAAATTCCTATTGGAAAGGCAAAGGAACCAGAACAGTCCAAATAAATCTGAAGAACCACCACACAGCTAGAAGACACACACTATGTGATTTCAAGACTTACCGTAAAGGTACAGTAATCAGAACAGTGTGGTAACTGAAGAAAGCATAGATACATAAATCAACAGAGCAGAAATAGACCCACACATTTATGGTCCATTGATTTTCTTTTTTTTTTTTTTTTTTTGAGGAAGATTAGCCCTGAGCTAACTACTGACAATCCTCTTCTTTTTGCTGAGGAAGACTGTGAGCTAACATCGTGCCCATCTTCCTCTACTTTATACATGGGACGCCTACCACAGCATGGCTTTTGCCAAGCAGTGCCATGTCCACACCTGGGATCCGAACCGGCGAACCCCAGGCTGCCGAGAAGCAGAACGTGCAAACTTAACCACTGTGCCACTGGGCTGGCCTCTATGGTCAATTGATTTTC